TATATATATGTTTATATTTCTGTTTGTAATTCCTTTCTCCCTTCATCCTTCTATCTCGTTCTTTCTTTTTTAAATTCTCATTCACTCTGCTTCGTTCTTCTCTTACACTCTACTGTTCATCTATTCTTTTTCTATTATTCTCTCACTCCCTCTCACATTTCCTCATTTTTTGTTTTTCTTCTACTTTTTTCTTTTGTTTTATCTTCCTTATTCAATGTCATTATCTTTTTCCTATCTCGTTATTTTTCTTTATCACTCATTTTCACTCCCTCTGCCTCTCTTTGTATTTATTTATTTCTCTTTTTCTTTCGAACTCTGTCAATCTCTCTCGTCTGTTTGTATACATTGTTTTTAGTTTCTTTTTCTCCATCCATCTACCTTTTTTTTACCTCTCTTTCTTTTTTACGCTCTTTCATTCCGATTGTGTCCTCTATCACCCTCTACAGTTCATTTATAATTTTTCTGTAACTCTCTCACCCCCTCTCACCTATTTTTTTTATCTTTCTTTCTCTCCTCCACACACTTTCTCTCTTTCTACCTTCTCTCTCTATCTCTCTCTCTCTCTTTCCCTCCTCTTTATCTATTTATATATATCTGTCAGCCTTTGTATTTCCCTCTCCCCCTTCTGTAACCCCCCTCCACCTACTGTCACCCACCGCTATCTCGCCCCCTCTACTTTTTATCTCAACAATCATTTCTCTCTCTCTCTCTCTCTCTCTCTCTCTCTCTCTCTCTCTCTCTCTCTCTCTCTCTCTCTCTCTCTCTCTCTCTCTCTCTCTCTCTCTGAAAAAAATCAGAATCAATAGTCTGAAGTACTATCATTACGTAGCAATACAAATTTTATTATTCCTCATTTAGCTACTCATTTTTAGCAAATAATTTTTTGTGCGTTTTTTTACGTGTGTTTGTTTTTTTGTTTTTTTTAAGCGAATGTTCAGGATTTATTCAGACTACTCTGAGTCAAAAACCTCCAAAACCTCGAAACGAATAGAGTGAACCCAATTGCTATTACGAGCAGTCATCCTTCTCCAATTTTGCGGAAATGGAGTCCTTTAGGCGGAGAGACGTGTAACTCTTTATTTCATTGCTTTCTCGTCCCCAGCGGGCATCATCCGTTGAGGCAGAGACCCACCCCCGAAAAACCGCCCTTCGCCCCCTGGGGAATTTCTTTGTTTAATGATGGTCGAAAGATCCATCTGAATATCCATCTCCCTGGACACAGTTCAGAAAATAAAGTTTACAACGGCATTCAGCACGTGTAGTTTAATTATGACGAAGAACACAGCTAAAAATTATTTGTTTATAAAAATAAACATATACTGCAATATGTATAATAGGATTAAATCGGGAATTATTGTTAAATTTAATTTTACCTTATTGATACGAGGATCATAGCAAATATAAGATATTTTCCAAGCAGAGGAACTACTAGAGACGTGGGCGGAATAATTTCAACTACCAGAAGGAAGAACACGTGGAGACTAATAAGAATCGATATCGACAGAGTAACCTGTTAAAAAAAATAAATAATTTACATAAATTGGCATTTGTTTTTATAAATGTATATTATTTTCAATTTTTTTATAATATGATCAATATTCATTTGGCTCAAAGGAGCAAATTACTTTTTCTCCGCTGTCAGATGGCAGGTAAAAGGTGAGCACGGTTAAAAATGATATCCCCATGCATGGGATTATGATGTTCACCGTGTAGAAAAGAGTCTTTCTTCTCATCGTTATGTTGAACGTTATGTCCAAATATGGTTCATCGCAGCAAGTATAAAACCTCTCGTTCCTGGAATGTACAGATGTACAGGTTAAAACAAATATATTATTTTGTATTTTTTAATTAATTTTTTCCCCAAACGAAGTTCAAAATTAAATTAAAACAAATTAAATTGATACTGCCAAGCTTTCGAACAATGTTAATGTCATAATCAGGGCCTAAATTAATTACAAATTATGAAAACATATTTGTATTGATTCAACAATCTACACTACGCTGATGGGCATAATTAACTATACGTTCATAAATTTTAATATATCAAGGTTTATTCATATTTTCCACACCAAAAATAGGTTTGGTTGTAAAAATAAGCCATTTAAAAAGAAAATGTTTATTATAAATTCTGAAAAAAAGTTTGAGCAAAGAACAAAAAATCTAAAACAAATAAATATGTGTATTTCAACTTCTGGCCCGAATCAAGTACGTTAAGCTGGGATCACAGTTACCCGATGCAACGCTATGCGACGCTACCCGATGTCTTGCCACGTTTTTGAAGAGTGTGCACATCTATGTGACGCCAAGCGCACGCCACGAATCACACAGCGGGTATCACAAATCAGTATCACAATCGCAACGCCTCTTTTGTTTTAATGCATCATTTTCAGCAAAACCATGTAATAAATTGTTAGTTAAATTTTATGAGCACAACCATGTATTAAATTCTTTGTTAAACTTAATTGTTTTGAATAAAGTTATTCTGGTGTTTCTGTAAATTTTCTTCCTAACCATCGTATTTAAATATTTTTTATAAAACTCATGAATTTTTGATCCCGTTTAATTTCGTTTACATTAAAATAAGCAGTTGTAATTAAAATAACGACAAAATGACATATACTTAGTTTGAAATAAACTACAAAAAATATGAGTGTCCTGTTCTGACGCTCTCCACGAAAACGGTGTAATTTTATGAGCAAATTGATGAAATAAATTTTATCAGCAAAACCGTTTAATAAATTGTTAGTTAAATTCGTTATATCAAAAAATTGTATTCCGGTGTTTTGATCAATTTTCTGCCAAACCAATAACATTAATATTGAAAAAACTAATGAATTTTTGATCTCGCTTAATTTGTTTTATATTAAAATTGTAAATTGTAAAATTGTTGTACTTAATATAACGACAATAATACATGTAGTTTGAATAAAAATATGCACGTCCAGTTCTTTTGTCTTCGACTGTACTCGATGCTACCCGACGAAAATCTGGACAGTGGAGATCACATAGCGTAGAGTAGGGTAGCGTTGCATAGCATCGGGCAGATGTGCACGGGAGTAATACAACCTTATGGAAAATTGTACTTTGGATTTGCGTCGCGTGGTGTGTTCCCAACTTTTAACGCCTTCGCCTTCGTTGGAAAAGATGTTTCGTAAAATCCTCTGTAATTCTTTCTCTTTCGTCAAGAACAGCTGTTTCCAACTCTTCTAGGGAGTTGAGACCTGGGTTTCGCTGTTGAACTTGCCGGTCGGTTCCACATTTGATCTATTGGGTTCAAACCTGTTCGAGCTAGCTTCACCAAGCACACAATTCCAAACTTCTTCGCGTACTCATGCACAATACGTGTTGCTAGGACCAGGCATCAGCAAGAATCATTCACCGATGTGGAACAAATGGCACTACATGTCCTATAAGTATATATTTGAAGTTGGAGATCCTCCTTTAACAACAACCAAGTCGGTAAGGGCGTCCAAGGATATCACATTCCCAGAACATCAATGACCCATCGTGGATGCCACCTGACGAACCACATCGCATAAGGTGTACCATTCTTCTGAGCGTCTCCATATGAAATTACGCCCGATTTACGATATGAGGCCAACCCTCACCTCGTTTTTAAAAAGACCTCGTCCACCAATCTTCCATCGTTCAATCGTCCAATTCGTGACATGCGTCTAACGTTTCTTGCACAAATGGCGATTTGGGAGGCTGAAAAATACTTTTTTCCTTACATCCTATGGACTGACGAATCCAATTTCAACTCTAATGGCATACTAAACCGTTGGAAACAGCTGTTCTTGACGAAAGGGAAAGAATTCAGCAGGATTTTACCAGAAATCTTTTCCAACGAAGGCAAAGGCGTTAAAAGCTGGGAACACACTTACCCGATGCAACGCTATGCGACGCTACCCGACGCAAATCCAAAGTCCAATTTTCCATAAGGTTGTATTACTCCCGTGCACATCTGCCCGATGCCACGCAACGCTACCCTACTCTACGCTACGCGATCCCCACTGTCCAGATTTTCGTCGGGTAGCATCTAGTACAGTCGAAGACAAAAGAACCGGACATTCATATTTTTATTCAAACTACATGTATTATTGTCGTTATATTAATTACAACATACTTATTTTAATATAAACCAAATTAACCGAGATCAAAAATTCATTAGTTTTTATTTAAAAAATAATTAATTTTAATAGTTAGGCAGAAAATTTATCAAAACACCAGAATAATTTTATTTAAAACAATTAACTTTAACCAAGAATTTATTACATGGTTGTGCTCATAAAATTTAACTAACAATTTATTACATCGTTTTGCTCAAAATAATGCATTAAGAACAAAAGAGGCGTTGCGTTTATGACATTGATTTGTGTTACCCACTGTGTGACTGTACGTGGCGTGCTCTTGGCATCGCATAGATTTGCACACCCTATGTTCGAAGAGAAAAATCCGAGAATGCGTCTTCATCTCGTCATCATCAGGTGGTTCACAGTATCACACGTTTGGTGTGGACTTCTCGGAAATAAATTAATTTTGCCTTATTTCTACGAACGCCTGTCATAATCACCCGAAGTCCGGGTCAAGATGAGAGAGATACGGCTTAAAATTTTAAGTCCGGAAAACATCTTTAATTTTATTTTTGGAAAAACCTAACACCCTTCCAACATTTCGGAGCGAGCAATTTGGATTTTCGCGAATATAGAGTAAAATATTCAGCTCATCATCAATATTTCGCATTCGGGTTCTTTTTGCCATTTTGGACCAATTTAAAATCCGATGTTTTCAGCCTAAAAAAGCTTAAAAAACCTTTAAAATGATTTGTCAGTATAGGGGTTGTATTTGAAATTTTGAAGTTGAACTGGGCCAGAGTAACACATTAAACATGTAATTTTTTTTCAGGAACTTCTAAAAAGGACACCCTGTAAACTTCTTGCTATTTCGAGGTGAAATCTGATTTGAAGATCTGTGTGGCAAGGTTGATACGATATATTGGGCTACGATGGTCCGAAGGATTGGGTCAGGAGTGGGAAGGAGGAATGGGTTCTTCGGAAATTGGAACCCTCGTTGAACCCTACAGTTCAATTCGGTCCAGGTTATAGTAAAAATATGTAAATGTTTAATTATTGACAAATATGTAGAAGAAAATCAAAAGAAGTGTTTTACCCCGTATATAGGGTACATACATCCATTTCAATTAGTGCAAGATCAGAAATTCCGGACAGAACATACAGGACTGAGTCGGCCTTCAAGAAAATTTGAGATCGCCTGTAAAAAAACTTAAAAATGTGAATTTGTAGACATATTTAAGATTATATATGCAGGGTTCCAATCTTTCAACATATATTGATATTTGGCAATATTGTATGTTAATAATTACTTATAATTTTATGTAGATGTATGTTTTCACCGTCCAAAATGTATGCTGGCCATGTGCTCCATAATCTTAAATCCAAAACGTTTGTACAATAGTTTTCCATGTTAATAGTTTTCTTCATCCTTGGGAAAGTATGTATATCCTGACATTACATTAATTCTTAATTGTAGGTTACTGTGTATTTATTTGAGTTTGTAATAAAATAGGCGCTGATGATGGCACTATAAGGTGCCGAAAGCTCGGGGAACCCAGCATTTAGTCTTTGCTTCACCTGTCTAATGACCTCTACGAAAATTGTAACCCTACATAGATTATCTGCAGGTCGATAATATATTGTTGGTCGTTGTTTTGCCTTCATGATGACCTTAAAATAGGTCGAAAGCTTGGCAGTAACACTGATTTTGCTTTTTTTCATCGTGATCATACCTTGATCCAGAGTATTGGTGAACCACTTTTTTAATAGGTTCTCATAAAACAGATTTATGGGATTTGAAAAATCAAATACATCTTAAAAGGCAACACTAAATTTGCTTTTTTTTCTTCATGACCCTATTTGATTCAGAGTATTCGTCAACCTCTTTTTTAACAGATTTGTTATTTTTTGATGAATTCCAAAAGTGAAATTCCGGTTCGAACGATTAAACTATGTTTAATTTCGGATTTAGTCTGCAAAACGAATTTAATCTAATGAATTTTTTTAATAGGTTCTCATAAAAAAAGACTTTTATGGGATTTAAAAACTCAAATACATCTTAAAAAGCAACACTAAATTTGCTTTTTTTCTTCATGACCATACGTTGATCCAGATTATTCGAGAACCTCTTTTTTTACAGATTTGTTATTTTTTTATGAATTACAAAAAAATAAAATTCCTGTTCGAACGATTAAACTATGTTTGAATTTCGGGTTTAGTCTGCAAAACGAATTTAAACTAATTAATTTTTTTTAATAGGTTCTCATAAAAAAGACTTTTATGGGATCTGAAAACTCAAATACATCTTAAAAGACAACACTAAATTTGTTTTTTGTTTTTTCGTTTTTTTTCATGACCATACGTTGATCCAGAGTATTCGTGAACCTCTTTTTTTACAGATTTGTTATTTTTTGACGAATTACAAAAGTAAAATTCAGGTTCGAACGATTAAACTATGTTTGAATTTCGAATTAAGTCTGCAAAACGAATTTAAACTAATTAATTTTTTTTAATAGGTTCTCATAAAAAGTACTTTTATGGGATTTGAAAACTCAAATACATCTTAAAAGACAACACTAAATGTTTTTTTCTTCATGACCATACGTTGATCCAGAGTATTCGTGAATCTCTTTTTTTACAGATTTGTTATTTTTTGATGAATTACAAAAGTGAAATTCCGTTTCGAAAGATTAAACTATGTTTGAATTTCGGATTTAGTCTGCAAAACGAATTTAAAATAATTAATTTTTTTATTAGGCTCTCATAAAAAAAGACTTTTATGGGTTTTGAAAACTCAAATACATCTTAAAAGGCAACACTAAATTTGCTTTTTTTCTTCAATACGTTGATCAGAGTATTCGTGAATCTATTTTTTTACAGATTTGTTATTTTTTGATGAATTACAAAAGTAAAATTCCGGTTCGAACGATTAAACTATGTTTGAATTTCGGATTAAGTCTGCAAAACGAATTTAAACTAATTAATTTTTTTTAATAGGTTCTCGTAAAAAGGACTTTTATGGGTTTTGAAAACTCAAATACACCTTAAAAGGCAAATATAACTGAACTGAATTCACGAGTCTAAAGTTTACCCATATTACGAACCTTAGTGTATTCCAAATGTTTCCAAGGAAGTTTCAAAGCTTTGTGAACTCAAACGAAGGGGGAAGAGGTGAAATCTAAAGGCTCTAAAGGTGTTTGGACTTGTGCCCCTTTTTAGGCATTAGGAGGGGAGTCATAATGGTAATTTATAGGCACGCTGAGGATGGGGTGACAAAAGCGAATAAAATTATCCCTATTGTACTCCAGTCGGATTATATTGTAAACGATGTAATTTATAAACTTGTAATTTTTTTATAAATTTACACCGATTAAAATTAATAATATTAAATATTTGAAGCTTAAATCTTACCGGACAGCTGGAACTTCCAAGATATCCCATTCCACAGACATGTAAAATTCTGAAAGATCGACACCGACCTCCACGACGTTTGAGCCTTGTTTCTCGTCCATATGGCGCAAATCCACCTGAATTCAATATAGTTTCACAACTTGAGGGGAGTTGACATATCCACATGAAAGTACATTCTTATTTTACATGTTTGTCTCTTTTTGTTTAACATTACCCCTTTCGTTTCTTTTCGCCTCTTTCCTGACTGATAATCGCATTTTCCACCAATTTAGAATAATTACAGATCATTGGGCACTCTATTCAGCGGGAGTGTTTTGTTATGTTATGGATGAGTAAATATGTTTGATTAGTTAGATTAGTTAGGAAAATCTTATTTAAATCGATTTACGACCATGCGGCCAAAAGAAAGTGACATTTAATGCTGTAACTTTATTAGGAAAGGGTGGAGAGATTATTTACAAGTGATATTATGAAATTATTTACAAGGAGTGTGAAGCAAAGGAAAACAGAATAAAATAATTAAAAGTAATTAAACATCCAGAAGCGAATCTGCAGGGCGATAAAAGTACCTTTATATTACAAAAATTTCAAATTTATAAAAATAAAAAAAGATCAATTTAATTTAAAAAAAGTAAATAATAATACAATATTATGAAAGTTGGAATTGTATAATAAAATATTTCCCTGCAGAAAATATAAATATTTATTAATTTAACCCTAGAAAAAATTATGAAAATCCATGACATTTTTAAAGCAGAAAAATCTGTAAAAAAGGTCTTAGTATTAAACCAAAATAAAAATATATTCATAAACAAAACCAGCAGTTCAATAATTATTTATATGATTACTTTTAACAAAACAGTTTATCTTGGGGTATTTTTTAAAGCTATTTAAAATGCGACTATTTTAGCCTTTATTTCTCGACTTGAAAACAGAGGTAAGCAAAGCTTTGACCAGATTTTTACACCAGCCAAATTAATCACATTATAACAATAATTTATCATTTTCAGAATGGTGAAATGGTTCGCCAAATTGCAACGGACAATTTATGTACAGTTAATGTTCATCACAATTTGACGATTTACTTTTCATTTATTTAACAAGTATTTAATTACATTGCTTAAAATATAAATATACATTATTATATAGAAAGCTAATCAGGTGTTTTATAAATTAAATAGGAAGATATTAAAAATTTAGTGCAACAGTTATATAAAAAAAAACTTTCGACTAAGTCGAAAATTCATGCTGCGTGCGACACCGAAGCAAACACATCAAATACAGACAAACATTCGATTAATTTTAGAAAACAAATTTAATTTTGTGTACAGTTTAGCTGATAATTTTAATAATAATGACAATTTGGCGTCACAAATAAATAAAGTTTTTGTATTATTTTTTTACATATGTGTATATTGTGTTGAATCTCGGTAAAAAATGTATTTTGGATATTTTAGAATTTTTCAATGCGTTAAAATTCTGGTAAATGTCATGCGCAAAATTAAAAAAAGTAACCGGTTTGCTATAACGTCAATTTAAAAAAAAAAGAAAAAAAAAGCTTGTTACAATAAAGCAATCGTCTACACTACAATCAAATAGTCTACTGTGACGTTTTGGGAAGGTAATCATTGGTGATATATTTACAAAGATATGGTGATTTTGAAAAAAAACTTAGCGTTTAAAGACAAGCCCAAGATCATTTTGATTTATATTTGGCCATTTCTTGAAGAACTCTGTCAGAAATATGTTCACTGTTTTTTTAAACAAATCGTTGAATGGAGCCGATTGTCATTCCCAATAATTATGTTAAGTGTGGTAAGTGTTTAAGGTCGTGGATGGGAAATGTGAAGATTTTGGTTAATTTAATAAAAAGCACCAGATATTAACATATTTAATAAGAAAAACTAAACAGTATGAAACATACATTAATTTACCTTCTTTAAATTATATTTTACAAAATTACAGATTGAACCGCTAAGCGTGATAAAATTCAATGTTAATTCGTCTAAATCTAATTAAAGAATAACTCATCCTCACATTTTTTTATGAATGACATGAATACTTACACACGTACTTACGCACAAACATAAAACAACTTCCTCTCCAGCATAAGAAACTATCATACAAATAAATTTTCACAATACTATCATACAAATAATGTAATTATTATTGTAGAAATTGCTTCAATGGTTTCCTCATAGTTAAAGAGAAAGATTATTAGGCTAAATATGAGAGTATGTTTTAAATTGCAGCTATTTTTGAGTCTTGCTCTGTTATTGACTCTCTACTTTTATATCTACACTATGTCGATATTCAAAAAATTTTCGTTTGTAATTCAGGTTGTCAGTACACAACACACACAAAACATAAAATACCAATACATCGCCGCATACATTGAAGTCTGGTAACATTCTCTCCCCCGACGTGCTCGATATTCGTCTATTGATGATATGCCTGTCCATTCACGCTAATAAATGATATCGCACATTCATTCATACGACCCTAGAGTAATCGATAAATCCTGTAGGGCATTTGAGACTATTCACGCAAATAAATACATTCGTTCTAATAAATAATACATAGGACATACATGAAGGAACAATTAAAAATATTTATGGCCCTGAGATATTGGATGAGTGAACTAGGCCGCCGTGCCTCAAGGCAGTAATATTTTAAAAACAGGCTTAAATTTTTCAGTTTTAGGTTTCTTAAGATCATTAGATGAACGTTTTAAAGTAAAATTTAAAATGACCTAATTAAAAAAAAATTGTTTTATTTTAAAAGTAAACTATATTGTTTTCTCATAATAAATATGAGAAATACTAACTTTATAATTATTTTTATCAGCTTATGTTTAATTATATAAATAATCAATGAATTAAATATAATTTTTTCGAAATGAAAAATTTATGTCACAAGCGAGATTCGAACCCACGACTTTCGGCTAAATACGCCGCTGCTCTACCGTGACTTCTATCGCCCAAGCCAGAAACTTCTCATTTCGACTCCCCGATTTTATTTCAAACGTAAGCAAATCGCGGCTTCGTATAGAAACACTTTTTATTAACGATTGTACTACAATAGCGGAATGTGTACGATTCACAGGTGTGATTCAAGATTAATATTAACTTTTTAATTATTTTTATCAACTTATGCTTAATTATATAAATACTCAATTAATTAAACACAGTCGATCGAAGTCACAGTAGCTCAAGTGGCAGAGCAGCGGCGTATTTAGCCGAAAGTCGCGGGTTCGATCCCGCCTGTGACACAATTTTTTCATTTCGAAAAAATTGTGTTTAACTAATTGAGTAAATGTGAGAAATATTAACTTTTCTGTAAAAATATATAAAAAAATTAACAAAAGAGAAAAGGTTAAAAATCAATGCTAAACCTCTTTATAATTCCATACGATAATTTGTTTTGTACAGAAGAATAGTAAAATTATACAAATTTAAAAATTATAACAAAAAGTTTTTACAAATGTAATCGTTTATTATTTTTGGTATTTTCTGTTAATCTTTTTCTAGTGCATGCTAATTTTAAAAAAATATAGGTTAGAAAACGATGCTTTATAGATCGGACAAGGAAATGTTGAATTTCGCTCGTACTCCGTGGAAATATCGAATAAATTTGTTTAAAATTTGATATTAGTTTGTTGGTAAATAATCTGAATTATCAGACAAGCAGCTTTTTTTCCTATTTCATGTAAGTGGAAGGCGTCATACATGCTTTAATATATTTACAGTGTGTTTCAATTAGAATTTGCATATTTACAAGCCTAGTGATGTACAAAACCTCTCCAATACTGAAGAGTAGTTACGGCATGCATTATTATCATTAACGAATGCTTGGTAACACAGACCACACTAACATATTTCACTTACTAGAGTGAACATTAAATGTAAAGCAAATAAATAATGTGGCAGCTCGTGCGCAATCAATAGTTCAATTTATTACTTTTGTGTATGTACAACAATCCATTTATACATTACCGACATCGTTAATAAATCTCGTCATCTCCCTACAGATTATTTAAGTAAAAGCGCCAATGATTTACCTTTCCCAATATAGTTACAGCATCTACGAATAACACATAACACTTATACATGAAGCTCCTCTAGAGAGATCTCAATTATTTTTTCATTGTTATTATGGTATATGTAGTTTGTGTGTTTGTCTGAGACCAATCAACACGATATAATATGAGATTGTGTGGTCGGATCCAGTGTTGAATGGCATTGTGTTGTATGGGTTACAGCTAGGCAAATTCTCTAAGTCAAACGCCATCGGATAACACTTGAGAACAGTTGCAGTGAATGGGAAACCCGGTGGGAAAAGGTCCAAGCGAAGCCGCCCACAGACAACGTTCATGCTCAACCGGCAGATGTGGGAAGCTCAGCATGGAGACCCTCACTCGTTCACAACTGGGAGAAAAAAACACTAAATATAAATTAAAATAAAATAAACGAAAAAAATAAACCAAACAACATGCTTCCAACATGAACAACATATAATTGTAAAATTCTCGGTTGTGCCGATACTGTTATTGTCAACAGACATAAAGGGCTATAAGACCCCTGTAAACAACATTCATGCTGCCCAGTTGCGAACTGTCACCATTCGTGGGGAGGGATAGCGAGGCTGGGGTCATAGGAGTCACCTTGAAACCGTCATACGTCCAACTGCCTAGCTTCAAAACACACGTTTGGACGTCGTACGGGAAATATTCGACGTCAATGGCACACGAGGACTTATAGACGGCCGGAGGCTGCCATACGACAAGGCCGTTAAAGTATACAGTGGCTTTGGTCATGAGCGTCACCTCGTAGTTGCCGTCAGCGCTGAAACAATACCTGGCTAATTGGGTCCTTGCCTATCCACATAAAATACATATTTTTTGGGCCAAGCCCTGGTCCGACTTGTCGCTTAAGAGGATTAAATCGGTAACAACCTATCTAATCCTCCGTGCTTGATATACAATTACAATAGATACCTCCATTCCACAATTTCTAAAAAAAAATTACCTTTGCTCTATATCATTTCTTTTCTTTCCTTTAAAAAAACAAATCATTACGTTTTGCGTCATCTGCCACGAAAGAAAATATGGAGAAATGGAGATAATTTGTCAGCTGAAATATTTTCTAAGTCTGTCACTCGCTCACACACGATTTTGGGTAGTTTGGACCCAACCGGACGTACCTTAAACCCGTCGTAGGTCCAACTACCGAACTTAAGGACGCAGGTCTGTTCGTCGAACGGGAAGTATTCCACGTCGATCTCACAGGACGACTTGTAGATGGCGGGTGGCTTCCACTCGACCAGTCCCTGATGGTAGATGGTAGCCTTTGTTGCCAACGTCACTTCAAAGTTACCGTCAGCGCTGGAAAAATTGACTCAAACCAAACACACATAACGTACGCACCTTGCATTCACTCTCGTTTCACCAATTGGTCAATCCTTTCAATTCATGGTGTATATTCATTTTACGTGTATAATTAAATAAAACGTTTAAAAGAAAACCAAAATAAAAACGTTTTCAAATTTTCAAAATAATACACAAATACATCATTAAACTATCATGTAGACAGAATAAGATTTTTAAATTATTATTGTGAGCCTTATTAAAAATAATATGATAGAAAGTTGATTGTGATTTGGATTAAATTTATTTTAAAAATAGTTCACACCTAGTTAAAATAGAAAAAAAAAAACAGAAAAATATATGCTTATTGCTTCAAAGCAGGGAAGAGGTATAGCATAACAATGGGGAGCATGCTTGAAATATGTTAGAAAGGGCATCTGCTCAGCTAACATGTTATTATTATTATTTTTTTATTTATTGTTTTACGAGGGTTCGCAACAGCAGAGGTTAAATCAACCTTCGGGGTGCCGGTGTTTTGGAATAAAATCCCATTGTAAGTATGTCATATGTCGGGTTTGAATGCAGGGCCCCTGGATTCGAACCCGGGACCTTTACCTTGATGAGCGCCGTGTCAACGCCAAACCGTTGCGGCAACCGATGCCCCCATTATTATTATTATTTTAACGATATTTTCTTATTTTTTTCAATATTGGCTAGAGTATGCCATGCTAATAATTAATAATAATTTTTTTTTGCGAGGAAGAGTCCGTCAAGAAAATTCCAGGGGCGGAATCGAACCCATAGCTAAACTGACTAAATTCTACTAACCGAGAATGATAATAATTATTTCTATAAATAAATACTCATTTCACAATACAACAAATTCAACAAAATTTCCTGAGTGGTTTAGAGTATTTCACGCATTTTCAGCTAAAAAAATAAAGAAAAATATATTTTATTTTAATTAATATTTTATGTCGAAACTATTCGTGAAATAATATTTCTATAAATTTATTGTATCTATGAATATTTGGTAAACATTATTTCAAAATTATTCTTGTTATGTAGTAAGGTCGTGGTGGTGATGAAAAAGTGTCACGAGGGGGATTCGAACCCACTATCTTCGGCTCAATACGCCGCTGCTCTAGCCACTTGAGCTATCGTGACTTCGATCCATTCGGACACCAACTCTCCATATCAACCTACAACCTTACGAATTTTCCCTCTTTTTCATCTCAATCAGGACTTTACATAACAAGAATAATTAATTAAAAGAAGTAATTTGGTCAATTAGACCACTAAACATAATGGATTCTTTCAAAACTTACTGATTATTTTGATACTTTAATTTTTATTTAAGGAATAAATTATTGTATAAAAACTAAAACCCCCTCAAAGATTGTGTCGTCCATGGATGCCGAGCCATATGGCGTATTAGATCGTCCATAATAACATCGATTTTTTTTCATGGTTATTTACAACCATGGTTGTTTTATAAGTGTGATGAATGCAGATATCCAAGAATATGATGCTTTCTTCAGTGTATCCATGATTTCTATGCTGTAGACTGTGGAGGATTTTATGACCTATACGAGATACTTTTGTATATACAATTTGCAGATCTTCATAAAGTGTTGACACTTTCAGCAGGGTGTCTTCTCATCGAAAAATAAATTTGTTTGATATTCGTTGAGCAATTTTACAAAAGTTATGAAAAGAGTGCTCATTGACATTTCTTGAAATTTCATTACATCAACATTCCAAAAGTAATTGAAACAGGTCTATATGGCCGTGGGTTTGATTCCCGCCTCCCCTGGCCTTTTTCATCCGTCCCTTCTCTCGTGCAAAAAATATGATATACAAACATACAAGTGTGTCCTGGCTAATAAAGGAAAAAATATTAGTCAACCTGAAAAAGCATGTTATTTGATAAGACAGTATCACTCATCACCACAATTTATCATGCGCAAATAATTCTTTTGTCAATTTATAAATAAATTACAACTTTAGATGAGTTCACTAAACATTTCTGTCTTCGGCTTGTATAAATCATATTCAAATAATGCTAGAAATTTTTTTACGAATCAATTAAAAAGCTATGATGTTTTCTGCTTCGATCAATTTGCACTAGCTTTCTGATTTTCAATCATGGCGACTAAAAATTGGGATTTCACGAAAATGGGGAAGTACGGACATCAATATTCATCCAGGAAACCATCAAACTCTTATCAGAGGCATATCAGATTTGATTTGAGCACTCCCTCTCTCATATAAAAAACGTAACAACCCCGGGAACACCAATTGGACAGGGAATAAAAGAACACGTCAACAATCTTTACAGAGGGTGAAAAAGGAATTAAGAGGCAGGTGACCAGGCATTGAAATTTCTGTCTAGGAGGTGACCAGTGCCATAATGAGCTTCTGCACCGAAAACCGAAGAAAACGCAGAAAAGAGAAGGCGACATAAATACAAGCCAGTCTGGTGGATCAACACCCTAAACGACTGACTCTATTCAGCCGAGCCGAGGCTCACAATGAGCGGGGTACATAAAAAGAAACCCAGAATCAGTACAATGAAGATATCAGAAAAGCTAAGCGGTATTCGCGGCGGAGATTCTGCAAAGAACTTACAGAAACACCTCACTGTGCCAGCGAACACAACGCCCTCGGCAAGGATAGTACAGGGGGTTAGCTTTCTCACGGACACAGATGAAATCTTTACACAAACAGAAAGCAAAACACTCTCCTTTTTGATTTTTTAACACTCCAAAACAAAAAGATCTACAAAAGGAGAGTGGAAGGAGGTAGAAAGCATAGTTCAACTGAAAGCCATAAGCTGAGCACTTGAGAATATTCGCTTATATAAAGCTCCAGGAGTGAACGTTACCTACCAGTCGGAAACACACTTACCCGACGTTACGCCATGCGACGCTACCCGATGCTACCCGACGCAAATCGAAAGTCCAACTTTCCATAAGATTGTATTACCCCCGTGCACATCTGCCCGACGCCACGCAACGCTACCCTACTTTAAGCCAAACACACACTTACCCGATGTTACGCCATGCGACGCTACCCGATGCTACCCGACGCAAAATAAGGTTGCATTACCCCCGTGCACATCTACCCGATGCTATGCCACGTTAACCTACCCGACGCTCTGCGATCCCCACTGCCCAGATTTTCGTCGGGTCGCATCGAGTAGAGTCGAAGACAAAAGAACCGGACGCTCATATTTTTATTCAAACTACATGTATTATTGTCGTTATATTAATTACAACATACTTATTTTAATATAAACCAAATTAACCGAGATCAAAAATTCATTAGTTTTTATTTTAAAAAAAATTAATTTTAATGGTTTGGTAGAAAATTAATCAAAACACCGGAATACGATTTTTTGATATAATGAATTTAACTAACAATTTATTGTACTCGCTTCGGCGGTACATATACTAAAATTGGAACAATTTATTACACGGTTTTGCTCATAAAATTTAATTAACAATTTATTTCATAGTTTTGCTCGTAAAATTACACCATTTTCTAATGTCGGGTAGCATCAGAACAGGACACTCATATTTTTTGTAGTTTATTTCAAACTAAGTACATGTAATTTTGTCGTTATATTAATTACAACATGTTATTTTAATGTAAACCAAATTAAACGAGATCAAAAATGCATAAGTTTTTATAAACATTGTTTAATTATGATGGTTAGGAGTAACTTTATTTAAAACAATTAAGTTTAACAAACAACTTATGAGATGGTTGTGCTCATAAAATTTAACTAACAATTTATTACAAGATTTTGTTCAAAATAGTGCATTAAGAACAAAAGAGGCGTTGCGTATCATTTTGATAGTGATTATTGTGATACCCGCTGACTGTACGTGACGTGCGCTTAACTTCGCATAAATGTGCACACCCTACCAAAACGTGGCAAGGCATCGCTTATGGTTTTGTTATGCGTTAAATTGTAATATGCCAGAAGTTAAAAAAAGTAAAAGTAATCAACTCTTTCATTCAAAATTTTTTTCTTTGCACTCGAAAAGTACTAACAAATGACACGATTCAATTCGCGTTGACATACCTAACGTATAAACAGCCTGCAACTTTGTAGGATCGGGGATGTATCTATGTGAATGAGAGTATAAGGACGGGTTAGAAATTAACAAAAGAAATGTATTGGTGTGATTTAATTTATGCGTATTTAAGAATAAAAGTACGTGTAAACAAAAAAACTGCTGCTAAATTCATAGCTGCCATGTTGGTTACCTACGCTCTAACGGATAATAATGTGACTACATTTCCAACCTAACATCTAACATTGGTCCTGGCCTGTTGAATCGAGCAATGTTAATTAGTCGATTCTTACAAGTCTACGACATCATTTTTCTCAATATAACAGGACCTAACAGAGTTAACAGGGTTAACACAAAGATCGTGAAAACCGCTAATTTTTCTTTATGAACTGAAACGTTATTCTATTCGTATTACATGATGTAAACAATTAGTCCTACTATGCAATTAAAAATGTTGATTAACGTTATGAAAACAATTGAAAAATGGCAACAAGGAGAGAAAATTCAAAAGGTGGGTTTGAAATGGGAAGTTAGTGTCCGAGTGGATCGAGGTCACGATAGCTCAAGTGGTAGAGCAGCGGCGTATCAAGCCGAATATCGTCGGTTCGAATCCCGCTCGTGCCATTGACTTTTTTATCTCATCTAAAAACCTTAATTGATTGTAATATATTAATAGGTCAAGCGACCACGAAATTAGTGAATTTAATGAATTTAAATGAAGTATACTTCACTAAAGCTCTCCGTTTTCATTCAAAATCCTATCTATGTGAAAAGTACTAACAAATGACACGGGTCAGAAATTAATAACAGAAATGTATTGGTCTGATTTAATTAATGAATATTTAAGAATAAAAATACGTGTTAACAAAAACAGCTGCTAAATTCATGGCTGCCATGTTGGTTACCTACGCTCTAACGGATAGCAATGTGACT